GCAGGGGGACTGCAAAGAGGATGGAGCTGGGCTGTTCTCAGTGGGGGCAGATAACAGGACAAGGAGCAATGGGCTCAAGCTGCAGCAAGGGAAGTTGAGGTTGGATATTAGGAAAGATTTTCTTGCTAAGAGGATGGCTGGAATGGGTTACCGAGAGAGGTGGTGGAGACTCCATCCTTGGAGGTTTTTAAGGCCCAGCTCTACAAAGCCCTGGCTGGAATGACCTAGCTGGGGCTGGTCCTGCTTTCAACCCTAATTTTGTAGAATTCAATGCTCACATTGTGGAAAAGGTGTTTTAATAAGGGACTTTGTAACAGTCTGCAAATACTGAAAGGTCTATGTTGCTGAAGAGGGAAAGTATGTTTTCTCTCCTTGTGCTGAGCGGATGATGCAGACCGTATGGACTGCAGGGGTTCTGCCTTCCTCTGGAGCAGGGGACATGGCCATCTGCCTGGGACCTCTTCAGCATACCCAGACAGAATTGTATAGGAGGAGGAAATTGGCTGCTATGTTTGCCCTGATTTGCCTGTGACAGGTTACGGTGTCAGGGCTGTGTTGTATCAGGGTTGAAGATAGACTTATGGGGCACATCTACACGTGCATTTAAGCGTGCCTACATTTAATGCACGTTAACTGAATGTGCATTAGGTGGGTTTAGATTATGGGTGTGAGGGATGGGAACAGATAAGAAGGGCTAAGGCTGTCATGGGCCAGCTGGGCACTGGGAGTGTATCAATTTAGCTGCAGGCTGACTGGGTGCTGCAACTGTATCAACCACTGGGCCCTGGTTTGGGACCGAGGAGGCAGAGTTGGGAGTGAAGCAATGGCAAATCTATTATAGCTTACACACACAACAGTTAACAGAAAGATAAATGCAATAAGCAGATAATGCAGTATTAAAGAGCTAATAGTAAATAACAACAACAGATAATGACAACAGATGAATAGATCAATCTGTCACAGGCGAACTGGGCACTGCGAGGGTATTTGCCACTGGGTTGTTTAAAACAACAAATAGACAGACATGGGTTGTCAACTTATGGATAGTCCCCCAATGCCAGGTGCATGCCAAGTGATTCCAGCGACGTCAGGCGTCCCCAATCGACGCTGTCGGAGAGATTACCGGGGAAATTCCCTTGATCAGGATCCTATCCTCACTCACACCGGGAGTTCGGGTCCAGGCTTGGTAAAGCAATTACCGTCCTGTTCCCTCCTTCCTGCTGGTCTCCTGACGCACGTACTTTTTGTACCTAGTCTTATGCTAATCTGCTGGCTTTAGAGCCACTCACAATCTTGCCCTATAGCAGTTACTCTATGGGATTAAAAGGTGTTAAACATTATTATAAAAGGTTACTACCCAGACTCGGGTTTATCCAATAAGCAAAATACAATGCAGCACCTTTAGGTTTGAAATTAACATTACTCTGCCTAAATCCAATCCCTTTAGATTTCTTTGACTATGCTTTCTTGAGATGTGCTTTCCTGGAATGTGCTGGGTATGCCAGGCGGTTGAATCCAGTTTTTATCATCAAGGCTGAACTCTGAGCAAAAACCATTAGGTCATCTAATCTTACAGCTATAGCTTTGTCTTTAAAGCTTAGTCAGTTCCACAAAAAGTTAGTTTTATCATTTTGGTTAAACTTATGACAGGCAAGTTACATTTGTGGGCTACAAACTTACAAGCTTTATATTAGACAAAAATTCCAAATGCCTCCAAGAAGCACATATTTATTGCTTATTAATTATTTTGGTTCTGGCCATCACATAAGGCAGCAACTGAACTGAAATTAGCAATGGGGATCAAGGACACAACAGAAGTTCTTCTTTGGGTATGTAGGGAACAGGAGGAAAACAAATGGTAGTTTGGGGCCATTGCTCAACAACTTGGAATAACAGGTTACCGGCACTCAGGAGAAAACTGTACCCCTGAATGACTACTTTGCTTCGGTGTTTCACAGGCAGGGCCAAGGGGACCTGAACCTGTTCAGCCTTCATAAGAGAAGGCTGAGGGGGGACCTGGTGACTGTCTATAAACTCACTAGGGGGGACCAGAAGGGTTTGAGGGGAGACCTTGTTTCCCCTAGCGC